GACTTTTCCTCTAATGCCACCTGTAGGTCAAAGTATTCCTGTGAAATATCACATCATCTACTAGATGGATTGGCAAATGTATACAAATACTCATTTTTCATAAAATTTGGTACGGATATTCATGTTCAAATTCCCCTCAGGATGAATTGCAGTCAATTTCAATTTGTCCAATACTATGAATCAGCCTCCAGATGCATTTTTGTGCCTAAGTACAGCCTTACAGAGCTTCTAACATGGAGTGGCCCCATTAAAATGAATTAGGGGGCGGGCTGCGCTTTATTCACAGACCTAAAGTTGTTCTGAACACTGCCTTATTTTTGTTGATTTCTCATTGTTGTCCCTTGTGGCTTTATTAATAAAATAATATTGAGTAAATATGTATTCATGCATCCTCAGAGAGGATTCTTTGGTATTGTAACAGGTCACGACAGCAGGAGAAATCTAATGCTTGTCGCTCTGTAACCAAACAAACATCCAGATGTGGTACCTACCATGCAGATGTCTCTTAATGCCACATACCTGTGTGTTCTTTGATGTTTCCTACAGCTTTCGGTGACTCACACGGACGACTGGGGGCGCTTCGCTCGTACCCTAATGGAGATCCGTGCTAACCGGGCGGACGGCGAGGAGGAGGGGCCTATGGAGCTGGCTTCATAGAGCAGGACTCCAAACCAAAGCGGAGGGAAATCAGAGACCTGGTGTGCTTTTATTGGTGTCACTGTAGCATGTACACTCAGTTTTGTTTTGTTTCTTCACCTTTATGTACAGTTCCTGTCTGGTCCAAACAACGCCTCGCTGATACTGTATTTTTGCGTTTATTCTCCTGTAAATGCGAACTGTCTGTTAATAGGTAAACTGTTGACCTCTACTGATTTGTCCGCCCTTATTTATTTGTTTAATGATTTAAGCCGATGTGTTGCTTGCAACTCGTGAGCCTACAGCATATACAAAGTGGAAGTCTTATAGCCTTACGAAGATATGTGTACTGTAACGACGCTTTGCACTACCGTAAAAATAAAGCAGGGTCCATAGACTAGTCATGTATTGTTTACAGAATGTCATGTTCACTTTATCTTGTACTTCTTTTTCTCTGTATTATGCCTGCATGCGACACATTCCTGAAATATTCCAGATGCATAAACATGGGAGTTGTTATGGTGACGTATTCACACGTGGAGCTTTGTGGCTGCTTTATGTCAGTGTGTCAGGGTGTCAGAAACTCAGAAACTCAATCAAGTGTTCAGAACACTTCCGTTCTGAACGAGAGCAACAGCTCTCTTTAATGAGCTGTAACAATTATCAGGAGGTATATTGTATTGCAGTGCTCGCTGTTAAACCTGCTATGTTTGCGATTAAAGCGTAGCTGACCAACCGTTGTCTTGCATTTTCCTCGCAGCGTTCACCTGGGAATGAAAATGAAACTCCAGCACGCGTTCAGTTTACTAATATAAGTTTCTCTTTACTCTCAGTACACATGTTGCTGCCATACGTACAGTAAGGCACGATTATTACACACCATATGTAACTCCTACATTCTCTGTACTGTACAAATTTAAATACTCAGTCGTGACACAACACAGAAGTGCAGTCGGTGCCAGCTGTCTCAGATATTTACACATCTGCTTACATTTAGACCTGAAACCAAACATCTTACAACAGTAAACATTGTTTACAGTCTGACTGTTACACTGTGTCTTTACATTCAAGTACTTTTTTTGGTCATATTCTTGTAGATGCATTTGATCAAATTAGCACACTTTTGAAAGAGCAACTCAGGACCAAAATAGCCATATAGATATGAAAATATGTCTCTGGATTTCTCGTATATACAGAAGTGCCATATTTATGATCAATCTTTTTTTTTTTGGCCAGCTACATGATCACACGAGGAATGTGCTTTGGATTATCAAGCAAACAAAAGGAAGACACTGGAAGAAGCTGCAACTGTATGTAGTTTTTGATACTATTTCCCCCCAAAAAAGCATCAGTTCTCAGCAGTAAACAACTGCCAGCCCTTCTGCTGCCTGTGTGCATATACTGTACCAACTGTATTAAAAACAAAACCACATTATAATACAACTCTATACAATGTCAGTCAAAGGTAAAATAAATACGACACGAGTGCTACAAAGACTTTTCTTTGCGTACCTGTGCTAACTGGCTCACTAATCCATATGGTTGCATATGAACTACCATATATATGATTATAAGAAGAAACAATAACAAATAAGTAACTTTAAATACTAAAAACAATGGCTTGGTGGAAAACATTCTAGCCCTCTCTTTCACTTCTCACTTACTCCCCACCATTGGAGGTTCAGGGGGTGCTCGCATTGGAGGGGGCCGCCGCTGCCGTTGCTACCGTCTGCACCGTGTAGCGTGGGAGATGGAGTCCAAACTTGTTCTCGATGCCAGCGAACGTGGCCACGGCCAACCTGAAGCCTCCGATGTGGTCGGGGTTGGGCGCCGGCAAGCTGATCCGAGACTTGGGGGTGGGCTCTGAGCCAGCTGGCTTTCTGTGTTGTGGAGAGAGGGAAAGAGAGACGGAGGAGGAAGCCAGAGGCACAGTAAGAGAGTTTAAAAAAAAAAGGAGGAGGAAAAAGGTGAGGAGTGGTAGAGTAATAGGAGTGTTAAGCAACATAAACGCAGCGTAAGACGTTATTTGAGCTAAATGGGGGAGAACGGGAGCAGGAGTTTTATTATTATCGTTCATTAATATTATCATATCCAACACTGTTTACAACAGAATTAAAATTTAGCTCCCTTTAGCGGAACTAAATCAAATCCCTTGTTGATTTTACATCCAGCTTTGTGATTCGCTGCCAACACGGACAGCGAAGGAGCACACATCGACTTGCTCAAAAACCACAACACATCTGATTTTGTTTGACTGTCTTTGGGGGAGAGAGAGAGAGAGAGAGCGAGCGAGAGAGAGCTGCATGTAAAAGTCTTGAGCCATCCGGCGAATACATGCATGTGCAACGCAGCTGTCCATTAAAAGAAGCATTTTTCTCAGTCATTTCTGAGAGGTTCACCACCTCTCTTCCCCACTGGACCTTTTTAACTTTACAAAAAGGAGTGAATTATTCCTGAGAGGGACCTATTTTGAGGAGGAAAATGAGCTCGTTTCAATCCCAGAAGTGGGGAAAGTACATGTACAAGTCAAATGGGTGCTGCGTGCCCTGATCACTGTGCGGCGAAACTCTCCAGTTTGAGAAAATTGTCACATCCAGAGTTTTGAGTGAGGGCTTCAATCTGTCAGCTAATGTGCACAGAAATTATTACTGGTCTTTGACATTTCTTCCTCTCTGGTAGAGGAGGGAGGACACGCACCAGGAGTACCTACTGTCTGCGGAAATGAACCCTATTGTTCTGGAAGAAGGTGGTCTTTGGTAATGGGCTAGCTGTAGTATTCTGTCTTCCGTGTGTTTTATGTCGTCTCACTGGTAGATTAGGGGGAAGGGTGCTGTAGAGGTTTGTAATAACAGTAATCACAAAGTAAAACAGGCAACTAAGCTCGTTGGAAGCTTAGTAGGAGAGAACGAGACTTACTGTCCTCCGAAGTCAATATAGAACCAGCGCTGCAGGAGCTCATAGGTCACCAAGGTCACTCCAAACTGAGGCGAGGATCTGAAGACGCGAGCTGCAGGAAGTGGTAGAAATGCATTCGTTTACATTTGGGTGGATACACAATGTATGATCGAGGTTTGGTTTCAGAAGTGAGGACGGCATGAAGTCAGATTCCTCAACGACAACAAAAAACTTAATTAAGGAGATAGATTTCTGTTCATTTATATCACTCTTATGAATATTTAATAATGATAATTAGATTATAAAGCTTTCCATAGCAATTGTATTATTGAGAACAATGAGAAATACTAGGTCTCATTTCTTTCATGCTAAACATTTGGCCCATCCCACATTGGATTACAATACACAGCTATTCATCAAACATAAAGAAGACATAAAGATCATCTTCATATACTAAAGAAAATGCACATAAATAATATGATGTACTTCTACATACTTTAATATAACATATCTATGTGAAAAATGTAAATTGTGCATCATCAATAGCAGAAGAAAGAAAAGAAATTTGGGCTAATTTTACTTGGCTAGCTAAGTTTTATATATGTGGGCAGTCTTTGATATCATCCATGTTTACAAAATGTTATTTAAAACATGATACTGCATCCAAAGGACAGGAGAAAATAACTGAAATCACCCTGAAATGGCACATTGAACAAATATATATAGAAATACATATAAAGAATGATGTTCCGGTATGTTAAAATGATGTTAAAACAACTTCTTTACTGCCTCATCTTTGATTGATCCCCTCAAAAACACTTGAAAGGGTAATGGAAAAACTTTTTAATGCCTTTTTCAGTTTTTGCACTCTTTCTCTCAGGCTGCATACGGCCCAACAACCTCCAGCCAATGAGGCAGGGCGACCTGTATGTAGCCTGAGGTGAAAACACGGGGCGCAGATTAGACGTCGGCCTTGGTGAACGTTACCTCCAGCTCCTTTCCAGAAAGCCCGGGGTCCTTCTTCTCTCAGAATCTTCCAGAAACAGTCCACCAGGCCGCTGTAAGTGGTCTGACCGGCACGTGCCGCCACCTGTAGCCTGGTCTTGATCACGTCAGCTGGGGTCACCAGAGAGGCCGCCGGCATGCCTGTGGAGAAAAATGCTGTTTAGTGGCGTAACGCTTTTTTTATTCTTCCAACAGTTGTGTTTGATTCTAAATAAGCACAAATTTAAAAATCAGCTCCAAACAAATGAGGTGATTTGTAGAAAGCAGCCATCAGCGAGCGAAACTGTGTATCTTTTGTATCATTGTAACTGCATCTGAGTGGTTTTAGCGCTCTTTGTTCCCTCTTTTAAAACACGTCATCTTGGATCTTGACCATCTTGCAGCAGGTCTGCCGCATACGAACACTATACACAAGTAGGGGCCAGTTCCTATCACTTCACCATCAACTAATCCATACCACCAGCGAGGCCATTATTTAATCTCTACCTTTTTTCTCCCTTTCCTCTCTCCCCCACTTTTCTTACAGCCGTTTGAAAGGGGCCAGACAATGGATGGTAATGAGAGCAATGCACACTGTGCCCCGTGTGCCGGGTGAAAGTGACTGGCTGACTGAAGGGAGTGACGGCAAAACCCCCTCTCCAGCCACTTCAGCCATGAATGGACTCAATCATTGATGGCTCGGTCATTACCATCAACTGCCCTCTTGACGATTTACTGTGACTTCTTGGTTTTTGTAACGGCCAAACGAGCTATTCAGCAAGCCTAATCAACTCAGCATTAGGTAGCAGACTGGCACCCGGTGGAGACTGACCACCTGCACTGAACTGAAACGAGGAGAGGAGAGGAGAGGAGA